CCGCCTCCTGGGTTCAGGCAATTCTCCTGCCTCAGCCTCCTGAGTAGTTGGGATTACAGGCACGCACCACCATGCCCAGCTAATTTTTTGTATTTTTAGTAGAGACGGGGTTTCACCATGTTGACCAGGATGGTCTCGATCTTTTGACCTCGTGATCCACCCGCCTCTGCCTCCCAAAGTGCTGGGATTACAGGCTTGAGCCACTGCGCCCGGCCTAATCTTAGTTATTCTTAAAATTTTGTTTGAAGAATTAGCACATCAGAGGACAGACCTAATTAATACCTAATTTAAGTTTCCTTTTGATCAGCCTAGACATGGGGTCATAGTCGTAGTCCGCGATTTGTGGAATCTATTCTCTAATCGCTGTACTACACTCCTTGATGCCTTTAAGAATTTCCTTGAGAGGTATAGACGTGTCCTGTGGCCACCCACAAGTTAATGGATTTTCTAGCTTTCATGAGGTTGCAGGGCCTTTCAGCTACAGTTTTAATAGTTTTAGAATTTGCCAGTCCTCTGGTTACTCTGAGAAATGTGAATTGGAACTGGAAAATAAATCCTATATTTCACATTTTCATCTGAGATTAATTTAATTCAAACTCTAAACCAGTCTAGTTTTGTTCTTTGGAAAATGCTGAGTTTACTTAACTCCCTTTTCCCAAGTATTCTCTAGAAATGTGGGCTGCAAAAATACTTCTACTTTTTGTCATTTTAAATACTCTACCTATTTGATATGAGATAATTTTAAGCTATAAGACATGACTGAAAGGTAATACATATAAGATATATGGCAGGCCGGGTGCGGTGGCTCACACCTGTAATCCCAGCACTTTGGGAGGCCAAGCCGTGTGGATCATGAGGTCAAGAGATCGAGACTATCCCAGCCAACATGGTGAAACCCCGTCTCTACTAAAAATACAAAAAAAATTAGCCAGGTGAGGTGGCCGGGCACCTGTAATCCCAGCTACTCGGGAGGCTAAGGCAGGAGAATCGCTTAAACCCAGGAGGCGGAGGTTGTAGTGAGCCGTGATCGCGCCACTACACTCCAGCCTGGCCACAGAATAAGACTCCATCTCAAAAAAACAAAAACAAAAAAAACATATATGGCATGCCAGCATGCCTGGCTAATTTTTTTGTGTTTTTAGTAGAGATGGGTTCCACCATGTTAGCCAGGATGGTCTTGATCTCGTGACCTCGTGATCTGCCCGCCTTGGCCTCCCAAAGTGCTGGGATGACAGGTGTGAGCCACTATGCCGACCTTTTTTTGTTGTTGTTAAATGGATAGGGTTTCACTCTGTTACCCGGGCTGAAGTGCCATGATATGATCATAGCTCACTGCAGCCCCCAACTCCTGGACTCAAAGTATCCTCTCACCCCAGCCTCCTGGCTAGCTGGGACGATAAGTATGTGCCTCCATACTCTGCTAATTTTTTTTTCTTTTTATTAGTAAGTGATGAGTTCTCACTGTGTTGCCCAGGCTAGATATTCTTTAACAATATTCAAAGTACAGCTACAAAAATACATGCCAAAAAACTCAGATGCATTTATATATAAGAAATGTGCCGGGCATGGTGGCTCACACCTGTAATCCCAGCACTTTGAGAGGCCAAGGCAGGCAGATCACTTGAGGTCAGAAGTTCAAGACCAGCCTGGCCAACGTGGTGAAACCCCATCTCTACTTCAAAGTACAAAAAAAAAAATTAGCCAGGCGTGGTGGCACAAGCCTGTAGTCCTAGCTACTAGGGAAGCTGAGGCAGGAGAATTGCTTTAACCTGGGAGGCAGAGGTTGCAGTGAGCCGAGATCATGCCACTGTACTCCAGCCTGGGTGACAGTGAGACTCCCTGTGAAAAGAAAAAGAAAAGAAATATAATGTAATGTTTTTAATTAGTATAAAATTATAAAGATTTATGGAAATGATGGAGTCAAGATAATATATCATTATTAACATTAGTGGTCATGATTCTGTGATACTATTGTTTGCTCAGAGAGTTAGGCATTTTTTTAGAGATTGGAAGATTTCATTGAAAATAGTAAAGCTAAAATAACAAGTCAACAGAAAAAGGACTGTAAAAAGTACATGTTAAAATCAAGCAGAGGCCAGGCGCTGTAGCTCACACTTGTAATCCCAGCACTTTGAAAGGCCAAGGCAGGCAGATCATTTGAGGTCAGGAGTTTGAGACCAGCCTGACCAACATGGTGTAACCCCATCTCTACTAAAAACCCAAAAATAAGCTGGGCGTGGTGGCAGGCGCCTGTAGTCTCAGCTACTCAGGAGGCTGAGGCATAACAATCACTTGAACCCAGGAGGCAGAGGTTGCATTGAGTCGAGATTGCACCACTGCATTCCAGCCTTGGGCAACAGAGTGACACTCTGTCTCAAAACAAACAAACACAAATATAAAATCAAGCAGAAAGATACTAGCAGGTTTAGGCCAGGCACAGTAGCTCCTGCTTATAATTCCATCACTTTTGGGAGGCCAGGTCTGGAGGATTACTTGAGCCCAGGAATTCAAGACTAGCCTAAACAACATAAGGAGACCCCATCTCTACAAAAATTACCAAAAAAAATTAGCCAGGCATGGTGGCCTGTGCCTATGGTCTCACCTACTCAAGAGCCGAGAGTGGGTAGATCACTTAAGCCCAGGAGGTCTAGGTGAGCCGTGATTACCCCACTGCACCCCAGCCTGGGCGACAGAGCAACAGCCTGTCTCAAAAATACGTACATACACACATACAATTAAAATTAAAATAAGGAAAGGAAAATATATTTTACCATTTATTAGGTGGAAATAGATCATCATAAAGCTCTTCATTCTCATCATCTTCACATTGACTAGATGGAAGAAGAGGGAGTTGTTCTTACTGTCTCAGGAGTGGCAGAGGCAAAAGAGGTAGAAGTAGAAGGAGAGGCAGGCACATTGGGTGTACTTTATGAAAAAAATCCTCTGCCTCACTCCTGTAATCCCAGCACTTTGGGAGGCTAAGGCGGGTGGGTCATGTGAGGTCAGGAGTTCAAGACCAGCCTGGCTAATCTGGTGAAACCATCTCTACTAAAAATACAAAAAAATTAGCTGGGTGTGGTAGCAGGCACCTGTAATCCCAACTACTCAGGAGGCTGTGGCAGGAGAATCACTTGAACCTGGGGAGGTGGAGGTTGCAGTGAGCCGAGATCACACCATTGTATTCCAGCCTGGGTGACAGAGTGAGACTTTGTCTCAAAAAAAGAAAGAAAGAAATCCTCATATAAATGGACTTCTGCAGCTCAATCCCGTGTTGTTCAAAGATCAACTGTGTATATATGTATGTGTATGTATCCTTTATTAAGCATTTTCAAATATGACTCATTTATAGAAAATCAGTATTTTCATAGTTTTATTACTAATGAGAAAATATCTAAGGGTGTTTGCTTTATTAGTCTTTTCACAGTAAATGTATGACTTAAAACATTACATTTCATCAATATGAAAGAAATCTATATTTAGACACCATGTCCCTGCTTTTCTCCTCGTTTGAATCTTTTTTTTTTTTTTTGAGACGGAGTTTCACTCATGTTACCCAGGCTGGAGTGCAATGGCGCGATCTCGGCTCACCGCAACCTCCGCCTCCTGGGTTCAGGCAATTCTCCTGCCTCAGCCTCCTGAGTAGCTGGGATTACAGGCACGCACCACCATGCCCAGCTAATTTTTTTGTATTTTTAGTAGAGACGGGGTTTCACCATGTTGACCAGGATGGTCTCGATCTCTTGACCTCGTGATCCACCCGCCTCGGCCTCCCAAAGTGCTGGGATTACAGGCTTGAGCCACCGCGCCCGGCCTTCTCCTCGTTTGAATCTTATGCAGTTTTCTCAGGGTCATGGGACTGACTTGCTCCAGAGCTGCCATATTGTTTGTTTGTTTTTTGTTTTTTTTTTTCTCTTTTGAGACAGACTCTCACTCATTGCCCAGGCTGGCACGATCTTAGCTCACTGCAACCTCTGCCTCCTCCCAGGTTCAAACGATCCTCCCACCTCAGCATCCCGAGTAGCTGGAACTACAACCATGAGCCACCACGCCTGGCTAATTTTTTTGCATTTTTGTAGAGATAGGGTTTTGCCATGTTGGCCAGGCTGGGCTTGAACTCCTGGCCTCAAGTAATCCACCTGCCTCAGCCTCCCAAAGTGCTGGGATTACAGGCATGAGCCACTGTGCCCAGTTTGCCCTACCTTTTTATGGTGGTGGTGGTGGTCGTTTTTTGTTTTACCCAGATTTACTGGAACTGAATTATGGGGGTGGGTCGGTTGGTTGGTTGGTTGGTTGATTGGTTGGTTGGTTGGTTGATTTGAGACAGGGTCTGGCTCTGTTGCCCATGCTGGAGTGCAATGGCACAATCTCAGCTCACTGCAACCTCCACCTCCTGGGTTCAAACCATCCTCCTACCTTAGCCTCCCAAGTAGCTGGGACTATAAGCATACGCCACCACACCTGCCTTGCTAATTTTTGTATTTTTGGTAGAGATGGATTTTCACCATGTTGCCCAGGCTGGTCTCGAATTCCTGGGCTCAAGCAATCCACCCACCTCAGCCTCCCAAAGTGCTGGGATTACAGGTGTAACCCACCATTCCTGGCCCATATATTTTGTTTTTAATGCCAAAAAAAAAAGTTTTTGTTTCTCTTTTTTTCTCTCCTCCCTTATATATCTTCTCTCTCTTTCTGTCATTGACCATACATCACCAATTACCAGTTAAAGATAAAATAACAATTTCATGTGCCTTTCTGGTGATATCTAAATGACATTCAAAGCCTCTTCTTGTGATTTTGAAAACAAACAAATGCACTTTACAACATTTTTTATTCCATCATACTTTTCAAAAGTTTTCATTTACGTATTGATATGTTCGTTTTTACTTTGAAGGAAAGACCAAGAAGTGCAGTGGAGCAGCTCTGTTTGGCTGAAAGTACTCGACCTAGGATGACTGTGGAAGAGCAGATGGAAAGAATAAGAAGACATCAACAAGCGTGCCTGAGGGAAAAGAAAAAAGGATTAAATGTTATCGGTGCTTCAGACCCATCACCCTTACAAAGCCCTTCAAATTTAAGGGATAATCCATTTAGGACTTCTCAGGTACATGAATTGCATTTGATTATTCTTTTGTGTAAATCTAATATCACTGAATTTTGGAATCAGAGTTACATGATGGATGGGTCTTAAAAGGTCTATAGTATGGATGGTTATTTTATGTTATTGAATTCTCATGATAATAAGCTAAGACAGCTAAGTAAAATACAAATAACCCTGATGAGTTCAAGAGACCAGAGCTAAAGTACTTTTTGGATGCCCGTGGACCAGTTGTGGGCTTCATGTCTTCAGCTGTAAGGTGATGATACAGCTGCCCAGATTCCTTAGAGACACTAAGAAAATAAAAGGGTTTTCAACAAATGTAAAATGCTATGCAGGTTACCAAGATAGTCCCCAATTCCCCTCTCAATAAAATGTGTATTGCTCTGTGTCCTAATTTAACATGACCTAAATTGGAGCAGGAGAGAGCTTCTAAATAAAGCTCCAAGTGTGCTGTCCATCACGTCTCAACTTCAGGCTTATAAAGTGATGCCATTTTGTTTCTTTTTGTTTTTGTTTTTTGCCCTTCTTTACAAATTTAGAGACAACAGGATAGCCAACCTGTTCAGTAGCTTCTGTCTGGTCTGTCCCTGTTCATAGACACTTGTCACCTAGCAATAGTATCTTAAAGTTTGTCTGCAATGGCATCAGCTGAACATGCTTTCCTGTCCTAATGGACATCCCCTCTTTCCATCTTATAAAGAGCAGGCATTGCTGATGGAGACTGAACAAAGCAACAGTTGAATTGTGGCACATTCTACAAATTATAAAATGAATTTTATGAATGTTGATTTTTAAAGAGATGAGAAAAATGAGTGGAATAGTTCTATATATATAAATGTTCTTTGTTAGTTTTTGTAGGAAAACTTCTTCATGAGTGGAGATCCAGCTTTGCTCTATTTTCAGAATTAACAGGCACTATTTATAAAATATACATACATGCACAGTATGAGTTTAAAAATGTTGGCCGGGTATGGTGGCTCACGCCTGTAATCCCAACACTTTGGGAGGCCGAGGCAGGCGGATCACAAGGTCAAAAGATCGAGACCATCCTGGCCAACGTGTTGAAACCCAGTCTCTACTAAAAATACAAAAAAATTAGCTGGGCGTGGTGGCATGCACCTGTAGTCCCACCTACTTGGGAGGCTGAGGCAGAAGAATGGCTTGAACCTGGGAGGCGGAGGTTGCAGTGAGCCAAGGTTGCACCACTGCACTCCAGCCTGGCTGGTGGCGGAGCAAGACTCTGTCTCATAAATAAATAAATAAATAAATAAATAAATAAATAAAAAATGCTACATATCTTTTGAGCAGATTCGAAGGAGGGATGATAACATTAAGGAACCGGACACTGTCATTAGAGAAAATGAAGTAAAGCCAGACCATGAAACTCCTGCAGCAGAAATTGTTCAACTAAAAGAAGATGAACCCCAAAATGTGGACTTCAGCAAAGAGGTAGTGAGATTATTTTAGGACAGGTATTCCAAAGGAATAGATTTGTGAAGATTGAATCAAGTGGTAAGGTTGAAAATAAAATATGTTTCCTTCAGTCACAGAGGCTATAGAGCTAAATGAAAAAAATAGGCTTTCTTTAGTTTGACTGATGTATTCAGCCATGTCAAAATATTCATTAATTGGTCTGGCATGGTGGCTCATGAGTGTAATCCCAGCGCTTTGAGAGACTGAGGCAGGTAGATCACTTCAGCCCAGGAGTTTGAAACCAGCCTGGGCAACCTGGTGAAAACCTCTCTCTTCTAAAAATACAAAACTTAGCCAGGTATGGTGGCATCACACCTGTAGTCCCAGCTGCTTTTGGGGAAGCTGAGTGGGAGGATCACCTGAGCCCAAGTTGCAGTGAGCCGAGATCACGCCACTGCATTCCAGCTTGGAAATGCGGCCAGGCACAGTGCCTCTGTCTGTAATCCCAGCACTTTGGAGGCCGAGGCAATGAGGTCACTTGAGGCCCAGAGTTCAAGATCAGCCTGGCCAACATAGGGAAACGCTGTCTCTACTAGAAAATATAGAAGTTAGCTGGGTGTGGTGGCACATGCCTGTAATCCCTACTCTGAAGGTTGAGGCAGGAGAATCACTTGAACCCAGGAGGCAGAGGTTGCAGTGAACTGAGATCACACCACTGCACTGCAGCTTGGAGGGCAGAGTGAGACTCTGTCTCAAAAAATAAAAAGAAAAACAAGCCGGGCGCGGTGGCTCAAGCCTATAATCCCAGCACTTTGGGAGGCCGAGGCGGTTGGATCACGAGGTCAAGAGATCGAGACCATCCTGGTCAACATGGAGAAACCCCATCTCTACTAAAGCTACAAAAAATTAGCTGGGCATGGTGACGCGTGCCTATAATCCCAGCTGCTCAGGAGGCTGAGGCAGGAGAATTGCCTGAACCCAGGAGGCGGAGGTTGCAGTGAGCCGAGATTGCGCCATTCACTCCAGCCTGGGAAACAAGAGCGAGCGAAACTCCGTCTCAAAAAAAAAAAAAAAAAAAAAGAAAAACATAAAAATGCATTAATTGAAAATTTAAAACATAATCAGTTAGGGCTAGATTAAATTATCATTAATACCAATTAAGGAATCTTATATCCCAATAGCTGCATCTTAGCAATATACCTCCTCTCTTTAGACAAATAACATTTTCCATCCTAGTAGCAAAGAATGTTAATATTTTTAATATACTTGAACCTAAATTTATTATCGGTAAATATTTGCTAAGAGTATGATTGTTTAATAAACTTTGTTTTGGAATCATGTTAGATTTGCTAGTCTAATGTGGTAAGAATTCTTTGAAAAGAAAATGTTTCTTTTTATCCTATAGTTAAAAAAAACTGAAATTATTTCATATGAAATGCTTTTTGAACCTGAGTCAAATGGAGTAAATTCTGTGGAAATGACGGATAAAGAAAGAAACAAAGAAAAAATGCCTGAGGATGTTACATACAGGTAATATTTAAGAAAAGCAAGCAAAGGAATCATTCACAAAACTGTTTAACTGCTTAAAAATGGTGAACTTGAGAGTCAAAAGTACTGGATTTCAGTCCCAGCTTAGCCACCTAGGAGCTATAGAATCTTGAGCAAGTTATGTAATCTCTTGAACTACCCATTCCCCAGTTGTCAAAATGGAACTAGGGCAGGGCATAGTTGCGCACATCTGTAATTCCAGCACCTTGAAAGGCCAAGGCGGGAGGATCACCGGAGCATAGGAATTCGAGACCATCGTGGGCAACAAAGCGAGATCTCATCTCTGAAAAGAAAAAAAACAATTAGCCAGACATGGTGGCATGTGCCTATAGTCCTAGCTACTGAGAGGCTGAGGTGAGAGGATCACTTGTGCCCAGGAGGTCAAGGCTGCAGTGAGCCATGATTGTGCCACTACACCCTAACCTAGGCAACAGAATGAGACCCTATCTCCAAAACAAAACAAAAAAAAAGGAATAATAATAGTATCTATCAGCCGGGCGTGGTGGCTCATGCTTGTAATCCCAGCACTTTGGGAGGTGGATCACAAGGTCAAGAGATTGAGACCATCCTGACCAACATGGTGAAACCCCGTCTCTTTAAAAAAAAAAAACAAAACAATAATAATAGTATCTATCTTAACAAGTATTTTGTAAAGATTAATGAGAAAATACGGCTGGACACGGTGGCTCATACCTGTAATCCAAGCACTTTGGGAGCCCAAAGCAGGCAGATCACAAGGTCAGGAGTTCGAGACCAGCCTGGCCAATATGGTGAAACCTTGTCTCTACTAAAAATTCGAAAATTAGCTGGGCGTGGTGGCGTGTGCCTGTAGTCCCAACTACTTGGGAGGCATAAGAAGCATAGATTAAAATACATTCAGTATGTTAAAAATTGGAGTTCATAATGATGCAACGACAACAAAAAATATTTGTTGGCCATTTTAAAGGATGCTAGGGAATGAACTTTTAATTCTAAAACTTAGTACATTAAGGGAAAGGATCGAGTGTTTATCATGTTTTTTTTCCCAAACTGTAACCAAATAGTTTGAGGAAACTTTTATTTTTAGATGAATTTCAAGAGAGAGACAGAGTATCATTGCTTTGTGGCCAGGCACAGTGGCTCATCCCTATAATCCCAGCACTTTACGGGGCCGAGGTGGGCGGATCACTTGGGGTCAGGAGTTTGAAACCAGCCTGGCCAATAATATGGTAAAACCCTGTCTCTACTGAAAATACAAAAATTATCCAGGCATAGTAGCACAGGCCTGTAATCCCACCTGCTTGGAAGACTGAGGCACAAGAATTGCTTGAACCAGGGAAGTGGAGGTTGCAGTGAGCCGAGATCACACCACTGTACTCTAACCTGGGCGACAGAGTGAAAATCTTTTTTTAAAAAAAAAAAAAAAAAAAAGAGGCCAGGCACAGTGGCTCACGCCTGTAATCCCAACACTTTGAGAGGCTGAGGCAGGACCAGACCAGCCTGACCAACATGGAGAAACCCTGTCTCTACTAAAAACACAAAATTAGCTGGGTGTGTTGGCACAAGCCTATAATCCTAGCTACTCGCAAGGCTGAGGCAGGAGAATCACTTTGAACCTGGGAGGCAGAGGTTGGGCAAGCCGAGATTGCACCATTGCACTCTAGCCTGGGCAACAAGAGCAAAACTACATCTAAAAAAAAAAGAGTGTCATTGCTTTGCTAACCCTAATGAAATAATGGATTTGAACAGTATTCCTCAGTGGCTGCCAAAGCTATTAGCTGAAAATCTGACAAAGACCTTTATATGAACTCTGTCTGTGATGTTAAAAATGTTAAAAATTTTGGGTTCCCGAAACACCTGAACTCACCGAGCATTTTTAACATCACAGAAAGAAACAATCTATGAATGCAATAGTTTATGACACCCACCTAATGAAGCGTTACTCGCCCCTCCAAAACATAAACTTGAATAAGCCTCAAAATCGTATAACTTTATAGAAAATCTTGAGGGATACAATCATCAGAATCTAGAATGTGACAAACTATATAGGACAGATAGACCAGGTTCTTTTACATATAAATGGCAAAGAATAAAAGGGATCTGGGGCAGTTTGTTTTAGATTAAGGTAGACTGTGGTGGCTCACGCCTGTAAACCTAGCACTTTGGGAGGCCGAGGTGGGTGGATTACCTGAGGTCAGGAGTTCAAGACCAGCCTGGCCATAATGGTGAAACCCCATCTTTAAAAGAAAAAAAGAAAGAAACATGTTAGGCGGCCGGGCTCAGTGGCTCACGCTGTAATCCAAGCACTTTGGAGGCCAAGGCAGGCGGATCACCTGAGGTCGGGAGTTCAAGACCAGCCTGACCAACATGGTGAAACCCCGTCTTCAAAAAAAGAAAAAAAAGAAAGAAACTTGTTAGGCAATATATGGACCTTGTTTGGATCCTGATTCTGATTCTAAAATGACATTATGAGGCACCAGGAAAATTTGAGCACTGACTAGATATTTGATGGCATTAACAACTTAAACATATGTACTGAAGTACTTACAGATTAAATACCAGATCTAGAATCTGCTTTACATGGTTTAGGGAGCAAAGGTCTTTAGGTTTAGATGAAGCGAGATTGGCAAACTAAATTATTGACATGAGTATACAGGTTTGTTATTTGCTCTATTTTGTTTGAAACTTTCATAAAGAAAAGATTAATTGTAAGAAAATATTAGTTGTTAAACATAGGTGATGGGTAGCATCTTTCATAACAAAAAAATTAGAAGAAAAATTAATTGTATTCTATAGTGACAAATTTTTAAATACCAATCTATTTTCATCAGCCCTCAAGATGAGACACAGATCACGAATTACCAACCAGAAGACCATCTTGAAGAAAATACAAAGAACAATGTTGACGAACAGGAAGAAACTGTTATTTCTTACGAATCAACTCCTGAGGTTTCTAGAGGAAATCAAACAATGGCAGGTAGATATTATACATTTCATAATTTTCTCCCTGGTGCTTCCTGTGAACTTCTTAATTTATTTTCCATGGGGAGAGTCTAAGAAAGGAACCACTTAAGTACCTTGACTACAGATTAGTCAACATTTGCCTTCCCAAATGTACCTTCAGGAGGCATGTAGCCCCTGCCACAGAGTCTACCCTGGCAGAGAGATAAGCACATTGGTTTTGTTTTTGCCTTTTGCTTTCAATTTTAGCACATAAAGTAAACTTTTTCTAATAAGGAAATCTTTGAATACTTACAAAATCTGTTCCCAGGGCAAGATTCTCAAGAGTATTCACAAACCTGCCACATTGGGAACTGTGGAGGATTTGATATCTAAACTAATAGAATGGGTTTGTTTACTCCAGCCTTTCTATAATCCATATCTGGCTGTTCCTTTAATTGTAGAAAGTCATTATCCATGGCATGCTTAAAAACCAAGGCCGGGCGCAGTGGTTCACGCCTGTAATCCCAGCACTTTTCGAGGCCGAGGTGGGTGGATCACCTGAGGGGTCGGAGTTGGAGACAAACCTAGCCAACATGGTGAAACCTCATCCCTACTAAAAATACAAAAATGAGCCAGGTGTGGTGGTGTGTGCCTGTAATCAGAGCTACTTGGGAGGCTGAGGCAGGAGAATCAGTAGAACCGGGGAGGTGGAGGTTGCCAAGATCGAGCCATTGCACTCCACCCTGGATGACCAAGCGAGACTGCCTCAAAAAAATTTTTTTTTGTTCTGTGCTGTTCTCTCATATTTTTTTGACTCTTCACAAACCTTTTCTTCTCACCCTGTCACCCAGGCTGGAGTGCAGGGGTGCAATCTTGGCTCACTGCAACCTCCACCTCCCCAGTTCAAGGGATTCTCCTGCCTCAACCTCCCGAGTAGCTGGGATTACAGGCATGTGCCACCATGCCTAGCTAATTTTTTTTTTTTTTTTTTTTTTTAATCCTGGTCTCCATGCACACACACCTATTTTTTGTATTTTTTGTAGAGATGGGGTTTCACTACGTTGGTCAGGGTGGTCTGGAATTCCTGACCTCAAGTGATCAGCCTGTCTTGGCCTCCCAAAGTGCTGGATTACAGGTGTAAGCCACTGCGCCTGCCCCTTTCATTCATTTTCTTTATGATTTTTTGGGGGTAGGGATGGGAATTAGTGCGTATTATTAGCTTTGCTTTTTTGGGTTTTTTTTTTTTTTGTTTTATTGAGATGGAGTTTTGCTCTTTGGTGTGATCTCAGCTCACTGCACCGCCACGCCCAACATTTAAGCAATTCTCCTGCCTCAGCCTCCATAGTAGCTGGGATTATAGGTGCCCAACACCACGCCCAGCTAATTTTTGTATTTTTAGTAGAGACAGGGTCTCGCCATGTTGGCCAGGCTGGTCTTGAACTCCTGAACTCGGGTGATCCACCCGCCTCTGCCTCCCAAAGTGCTAGGATTACAGGCATGAGCTACCACACCCAGCCAGCTCTGCTTCTTGTAGTCCATAAGTGAAAAAACCATTCCTATGAAACCCCACCACCACTCCTGCCCTTTTGCAGAAGAGTAAGAACAATGAAATTCCAACATTCAGGACTATTCTTCTTAGGAAAAACATGTTCTGTATAGAACATCTTCAGTACCTATATAAATATAACATGTTTATGTTATATAAATTTAAATAAAATAAATTTTATTAACATAAATTTATAATTTATTTTAATCAGTCATATTCCCTTATAACAAATACTAAACACTGCCTTTGCCTTTGCCTCTATCACTTACAAGGCAGTATGAGCCAGGCACAGTGGTTCACGTGTATAATCTCAGCACTTTGGGAGGCTAAGGCAGGAGTATTACTTAAGCTCAGGGGTTCAAGACCAGCCTAGGCAACATAACAAGACATTTCTACTAAAAATGATAATTTTCAAAATTAGCCATGCAGGGTGGCACTCAACTATAGACCTAGCTTCTCAGGAGGCTGAGGTGGAGGATGGCTTGAGTCCAGGAGGTCGAGATTACAATGAGCTCTGTGATTGCACCATTGCTCTCCAGCCTGGGCAACAGAGCAAGACCCTGTGTCAAAGAATAAATAAATAAGGCAGTATGCACAGGAGATCTCACTTAAAAAAAAAATTGTCACTGGCCAGTTTTGGTTATTATGCAGAAGGTCTGGATCAAAGTGGTATGATAGTATTAAAAACACAGCATTTAAATCTTGTGTAGTATTTAGCTGCATAGAACTAGAAATGTTCCAAAAGAAAATTAACCTCAAAGCAAAAAAACAAAAAATTGTAAAGTAGGGTTTTTTTTTTGTTTTTTTGGGTTTTTATTTATTTATTTATTTTTTTTTTTTGAGACAAACTCACCCAAGCTAGAGTACAGTGGTGCAATCTCAGCTCATTGTAGCCTCTTGCTCCCGAGTTCAAGCACTTCTGCCACGGCCTCCTGAGTGGCTAAGACTACAGGCACCAGCTACCGTGTCTGACTAATTTTTGTATTTTTAGTGGAGTCGGGGTTTCACCATTGTTGGCCAGGCTGGTCTCGAACTTCTGACCTCAAATGATCCACCCGCCTCAGCCTCCCAAATTGCTGGGATTATAGCCATGAGCCACCATACCAGGCCCAAAAAAAAATTTAATAGTCTTCAGGAAACATTTTATACTGAATATTTAGTTTGCAGATTAGAAAATAACAGGCTGAGGCCGGGTGTGGTGGCTCACGCCTGTAATCCAAGCACTTTGGAGGCCAAGGCAGGTGGATCACCTGAGGTCGGGAGTTCAAGACCAGCCTGACCAACATGATGAAACCCCGTCTTAAAGAAAGAAAGAGAGAGAGAGAGAGAGAAGAAAAGAAAGAAAGAAAGAAAAGAAAGAAAGAAAGCTCATGCCTGTAATCAAGATGGGAGGATTGCATGATGCCAGGAGTTCAAAACCAGCCTGGTCGACATAGCAAGACCCCCATCTTGATTAATAAAAAACTTTTTAATTTGTTTTTTTGTTTTTTGAGACGGAGTTTCACTCTTGTTACCCAGGCTGGAGTGCAATGGCGCGATCTCGGCTCACCGCAACCTCCGTCTCCTGGGTTCAGGCAGTTCTCCTGCCTCAGCCTCCTGAGTAGCTGGGATTACAGGCACGCACCACCATGCCCAGCTAATGTTTTGTATTTTTAGTAGAGACGGGGTTTCACCATGTTGACCAGGATGGTCTCGATCTCTTGACCTAGTGATCCACCCGTCTCAGCCTCCCAAAGTGCTGGGATTATAGGCATGAGCCACCGCTCCCGGCCTTGTTTTTAATTATTTATAAAGAAAAAGAAAATCACAATAGAACCAAATGCATCTATTACTTCCTTCTCAAAACATGTTCTAATTTTTGTGGGATTACAGCATCAGAATTTCCTTCTCGAAATGCGTCTTAAAGATTTTTATCTTCTCGCATTTTCTTTGTGTGTTTTAGTGAAAAGTCTTTCCCCATCTCCTGAGTCCTCGGCATCGCCTGTTCCATCCACTCAGCCACAGCTCACAGAAGGATCACATTTCATGTGTGTGTAGTCTCAGAAGAAGTACGTCATTTCCCTTTGCATTTGTGCTTTAGAGTTTTTTACTTGAATTTCATTATTCATCTGTTGGCTTAGTGAATCAAAACTGGGATTAGTTCTGGGCTGTACATAGGGATAGCTGGCAGAACAAGTAGGCCATATCTTGGAAATCAGGGTCAGATTTCTAACATTGGCCCTTCCAATGATTGCTGTGTGACAGCATTTTCTTTGTCTCTTATTTCATCATCCACAAAAACAACAAAATTTGGAGGGCATGGCCTGTGCCAAGACTTGCAGTGTTTTGCAGCTGTTCTTCTACTTAATGTTGCTTTCCATAGCCTGACCTGAGAATTCTGTTTAAGTGATTACAGGTTGATTATGTAACGTTTTTTACAGTTTGTGTGACATGTCTGCCCATTGGGAATTTGCTAATTATTGTAAATGACAATGAAATGTTTATGGTACAGCCAACTTGATGGAATATTAAAATCTTTAATGTCTATCTGATATTATTTCTAAGTAACTGAATTTTATTAAGTCAGGGAGGTAGTTATTAAAACCATGGATGGGATCAGGGAGAAGGAGGAATCCTTTCTTGAACAGTGTTCCGTAGACCACAGATGTATAATTGAGGATAATTTCCTGAATTCTTTTTTTTTTTAAAAAGACAGGGTTTCACCATGTTGATCAGGCTGGTCTTGAACTCCCGACCTCATGTGATCTGCCCGCCTTGGCCTCCAAAGTGCTTGGATTATGGGTGTGAGCTACCACGCCCAGCCTAATTTCCTAAAATCTTTTAATCTTTATAGACAGTGGGGCATGGTGGCTCACACCTGTAATCCAAGCACTCTGGAGGCCAAGGCGGTGGATCCCCTGAGGTCGTGAGTTCAAGACCAGCCTTACCAACATGGTGAAAACTAGTCTTAAAAAAAATAATAAAAATAATAAACTTTGTGGACAATTGCTAATTTTAACGTACAATGTAGTACTTATAGAGAACTCTAAAAGTTTTTTAACTTTTTATAAAAGCTTGTATAGAGTAAGAATGTTATGCCTTTTTCTGCATTTTCTTTCTCACAGCATCTACCATATCTAATAAAGTTTGATGCTTTAGGATTACCACCAATTTCTGTTGAACAATTATAAACAGCAAAAACAGAGAGAGAGACATTATAAGCATTAGCACTAACATCGTTTTATTTTTCTTATTTCATTTTACTTTTTATGTTATTTCTTTTTTCAGAGATAATCACCCATGTTGGAGTGCAGTGGCACAATCACAGCTCACTACAACCTTGACCTTCTGGGTTCAAGCAGTCCTGTTGCCTCAGCCTTAGAAGTAGCTGGGATCACAAGTGCACTCCACCACACCTGGCTAATATTTTGGTTTTCTTGTAGAGACAAGGTCTTACTACATTGCCCACACTGGTCTCAGACTCCTCAACTCAAGCTACCCTCCTGTCACATGAGCCATTGCGCCCAGCCTCTGATTTTTACATTCTCAAAATTTTTATTTACTTCCCTTTTTTTTGTTGTTTTTTTGTTTGTGGTTTTTTTTGTTTGTTTTTTTTTGTTTGTTTGTGTTTTTTTGCAATCATGTCTCACCCAGTCATCCAGGCTGGAGGGCAGTAGTAAGATCTTGGAGGAGCCTTGACCTCCTGGGCTCAAGCAATCCTCCCACAACAGCCTCCCAAGTAGCTGGGACCACAGGTGTGTGCCACCATGCCTGGCTAATATTTTGTATTTTTTGTAGAGTAGGGGTTTTGCCATGTTGTCCAGGCTGGTCCCAAACTCCTGAGCTCAAGTACTCTGCCTGCCTCAGTCTCCCAAAGTGCTGGAATTCCAATATTGAACCACCACACCTGCTATGTTTAAACTTTTAACTCAGTATGTTTAGAAGTGACTATAATGTGCCGGGCGCGGTGGCTCAAGCCTGTAATCCCAGCACTTTGGGAGGCCGAGGCGGGTGGATCACGAGGTCAAGAGATCGAGACCATCCTGGTCAACATGGTGAAACCCCATCTCTACTAAAAATACAAAACATTAGCTGGGCATGGTGGCGCATGCCTGTAATCCCAGCTACTCAGGAGGCTGAGGCAGGAGAATTGCCTGAACCCAGGAGGTGGAGGTTGCGGTGAGCCAAGATCGCGCCATTGCACTCCAGCCTGGGTAACAAGAGCGAAACTCTGTCTCAAAAAAAAAAAAAATAAAAGAATAAAAAATTAAAAAATAAAAAAAAAAGAAGTGACTATAATGTATACATTAAGAGCTATTCATATAATATTTTGATTCAAGAAACAGGTTATGACTGTATACATATCCTTCCAATAATAAAGGATATTCTGAGTTAAAACTCAAGTATATTTCCAAGTTTCCTAAATTGTTATAGGATTTTACTTTTTCTTTTATTCCAAGAGCAGTGGCATACTGTAATGAGGTATAATTATTGTAGGATATTTTCTAGTCTCATGGTATGCAGCCACCACAAACAACTAAAGGCATGAAAACTTGTATTATTTTATATCTTCCTATTATGCATATGCCATCTTTCTGAACTAGTGGTTTTGGCAGGATTTAGGGAAACTTTACAAATGGCACTACTATATAGGCAGTTCAATATGTTATTACATATTTTAGTGGAGTTATGCAGATATTTGCTCATTTTGTTGATCTGTTGGATTCAGCTGCAAGTTTGGTACTTTTTTTATTCTGTATTGCTATTTATAATTGCCTTATGTTGGATGGGCGCGGTGGCTCACGCCTATAATCCCAGCACTTTGGGAGGCCGAGGTGGGTAGATCACAAGGTCAGGAGATAGAGACCATCCTGGCCAACATGGTGAAACCCTGTCTCTACTAAAAATACAAAAATTACCTGGGCATGGTGGTGCACGCCTCTAGTCCCAGCTACTCAGGAGGCAGAGGCTGCAGTGAGCTGAGATCCTGGCACTGCACTCCAGCCTGGCAACAGAGCGAGACTCATTCTCAAAAAAAGAAAAAGGCATCATGTTTCTTTGTGGGGCCTAGTACAGTGGCTCATGCCTGTAATCCTAGCACTTTGGGAGGCCGAGGCAGGCGGATCACTTGAGGCCAGGAGTTTGAGACCAGCCTGGCCAACATAATGAAACCTGTCTCTACTAAAAATACAAAAATTAACCAGGCATAATGTACAGTCCTGTAATCCCAGCTAGTTGGGAGATGGAGGCAGGAGAATCACTTGAACCCAGGAAGCAGAGGTTGCAGGGAGTCAGGATCGCACCAGGCAACACAGCAAGCAAGACCCTGTCTCAAAAAAAAAAAAAAAAAAAATTGGCCAGACAGGGTGGCTCACGACTGTAATCCCAGCACTTTGGGAGGTCAAGGCAGCCAGATCACAAGGTCAGGAGATGGAGATCATCCTGGCCAACATGGTGAAACCCCATCTCTACTAAAATACCAAAAAAAAAAAAAAAAAAAAAAAATTAGGCTTGATAGTGCACGCCTGTAGTCCCAGCTATTCGGGAGGCTGAGGCAAGGGTAATCTCTTGAACCCAGGAGGCAGAGGTTGCACTGAGCCGAGATTTAGCCACTGCACTCCAGCCTGGCAACAGAGCGAGGCTCAAAAAAAAATTGCATTATGTTTCTTTGCTTTGTGAATTAAGCTATCAATATGAAGAAAAATATCCTTTGATTGTTTTGTGTTTTAGGATTTTCATGGCCATGCTTGTCAGTTCTGTTGTTACAGAATGTCACACCCTTACTTACTTTGGGAAATGGTAATTAATTAACATTGCAGGTGTCAAAGTATATTTTCTCCCTCTTATTTTTCAGCTATACTGAATTCTGTTGAAACCATTCAAAGCTAAAGACTTGGACCTTCAGCAGTGTAAGAAGATATTGTACAGTATATTTTAAATCTATGAAATTCATAGTTCTGATGCTTCTGGTCACAGAGCATCATTTTATCACCTCTGGAAAATGTTTATTCCAAAACAGCTTTAATGGCCCATATGTACACTCCGTAATCTCAAGGTTATTATTCTGACACCAGCTTGCTGCTATGATTTCAGAGCACATAAGTAAAGGTGCTTTTCAATGTGCAGTCTATTGCCAGAGCTTACTTAGTTGCTGATTTCCAGATTTCGATGTTTCTTAAGTCTAGGTGAATTTATATATTTTTTTTGCTTTTTAGTTTCTAAAGTTAGTTATTATTTCCAATGAAGCTTGTTTTCCTTTTTTTTTCTTCTTCTTCTTCCCATTTTGGCTACTGCAGTGCTTTTGTTTCACACTTGATTTGTAAAAATTTTATATATATATATATATATATATATATGTTTAAAATGTGCCATTTTATTGCTAAGTGAAGTATGTCCTGTTTTCTGCTATAATTCTTTCTCGGTCAGATTGCAATGTCAGCAGTTAACTGCCACACTCCTGTCAGCTTAAACACAAATGTTACCGCTTATCTTTTCTTAAAAAAAAAAAAAAAAAAAAACAATTAAAAGTGTAGGTATTTTGAAGTACTGGGCTTATACTTCATTGGAATACATGTGTACAGCAATAAGCAGGTTTTCAAATCCAGTACTTAGTTTGTGTACAAATGTAATTATGTTCATTGTGTATATATTATACAATGAGCACATGTAATGTATTAAAGGCTACTTACTATTGTTTAAATGCAAATGTTCATATCTCATTTCTTTTTTATCATGTTAAATAAATGTTGATGTTCTTAAATTAGTTGCGTTAAAATTTTTGTTCTTTCTATCCAAAATTGAAAGGCTAAGACTCAAGAGACTTCTAGAAGAAAAGGTACTCTGTTAATATTATAATCCTAGACAACATCATAAAAGACCCTTGTCAGTCCAACCCTTCCATGTCAAAGTTGAGGACCTTGAGGCTCAAAGAGATCAGTTGACTTGGCCACAATTTAATGACAGAATTTTGACCAGAGTATAGTTTTTCTGACTTTTTCTCTAAGTACATTAGCTCATCATCGCTAGAGGAATTTAGTTTTGTGAAGTCTTCTACCGTGTTTCTATTCGTTCCCATGCTTTAGAAAGTGACTTCAAGCATCAGCAGTCCTGCTCTGCTTAGAGATTGGACTTCGAGGGGTATGTAAGGCAGCTATTTCTCTGACATGGGTAGCTAGAAACCGTTTCATCGTTAAGTAGGATCCTTAGAGATCATTTTCTCTTACAATACATTCTTTGCAGATGTTCACGCTCTTCAGAATCAATTACGTTTTCTTCCCTCTGTAACCTTTTGTTCATGCTATATATTGTTCCCAGGGTACACGGAAATTTGATGCTTTTGGATTCCTGCATGAAGTGGCTGAAACTAAATTGGCATTAGTCAGTCTTTCTTTCCTCCCATGCTATATTAAAGGGGATTTAGATTTAATTCAAAATGCTGATGTATAAAAATTCTTCTCCAAACAGGAACACACAAAATGAAATGCAAATAGATACAATGTATATCAGGAAGTGAAGGAAACAGAAGTTAAAATGGACACCTGTGTCCATGTACAAATAATATGTTTACTACTACCTTTCTCTAAAGATGTCACAAAAAATCTTCTCAAAAGAAACAGTATGGCTACGAAAGAAAGAAAAAAGAAACAGTCACCTAATTATTATTTCCCTTTAATCATGATAATGATCGTTTCTGATCTTTTGTCAGTATGTTGGGGAACAGTTGCTATTTACTTGGGTTTTGTTTGGGTCCTTTTTTTTTTTTTGAGGCAGAGTTTCGCTCTTGGTACCCAGGCTGGAGAGCAATGGCGCAATCTCGGCTCACCGCAACCTCTGCCTCCTGGGTTTAGGCAATTCTTCTGCTTCAACCTCCTGAGTAGCTGGGATTACAGGCACACGCCACCATGCCCAGCTAATGTTTTGTGTTTTTAGTAGAGACGGGGTTTCACCATGTTAACCAGGATGGTCTCGATCTCTTGACCTCGTGATCCACCCACCTCGGCCTCCCAAAGTGCTGGGATTACAGGCTTGAGCCACCGCGCCTGGCGGGTCTTTTAATTAATTAATTTTTTTTTTTTTTGAGATGGAATCTTGGTCTGTCGCCTAGGCTGGAGTGCAGCGGCGCAATCTCAGCTCACTGCAACCTCTGCTTCCTGGATTCAAGTAATTCTGCCTCAGCCTCCTGAGTAGCTGGGATTACAGGCTAATTTTTGTACTTTATTAATAGAGATGGGGTTTCAAGCCAGTCTCAAACTCTTGACCTTGTGATCCACCCACCTCAGCCTCCCAAAGTGGTGGGATTACAGGCGTGAACCACCGTGCCTGGCCTTGTTTGGGTTTTTGTGGGTAGAGTGTGTGTCTGTCTGTCTCTTTGGTTTTATTAAGCACAACATTTTTTGACTATTCCAAGAAGGAAGAATGTTCCTTACTGGAATCCCTAGAAGACTAGGAAATTTGGAGAAAGCAACATGAACTAGTTATGAATCCTGTCAGCATTTCAGAAAACCAGATGAAAATTGTTTATTCACAGTTGGTTGGGTGCAGAGGCTCATGCCTGTAATCCCAGCTACTTAGGTGGCTGAGGCAGGAGAATCACTTGAACCCGGGAGGTGGAGGTTTCAGTGAGCCAAGATTGCATCACTGTGCTCCAGCCTGGGCAACAAAACGAAACTCTGTCTCAAAAAAAAAAAAAAAAAACAATGTCCAGGCGCAGTGGCTCATGCCTATAATCCCAGCACTTTGAGAGGCTGAGGCTAACGGATCATGAGGTCAGGAGTTTGAGACCAGCCTGGCCAACATGGTAAAAATACAAAAATAAGCTGGGCGTAGTGGTAGGCACCTATAATCCCAGCTACTCCAGAGGCTAAGGCAGGAGGAGGTGGAGGTTGCAGTGAGCTGAGCTCTGCCACTATACTCCAGCCCAAGTGACAAGAGTGAGACTCCTCAAAAACAAAAAAAAAAAATAGGCTTCCCGCCGCCCAAGATGAAAGGGAAGAAGGTGGCTCCGGCTCCTGCTCTCATGAAGCAGCAGGAGGCCAAGAAAGTGGTGAATCCGCTATTCGAGAAAAGGCCTAAAAATTTTGGCATTGGAGGAGACATCCAGCCCGAAAGAGACCTCACCGAGCTTTGTGAAATCGCCCCGCTATATCAATTTGCAGCGGCAGAGAGCCATCCTCTATAAGCGGCTGAAAGTGCCTCCTGCAATTAACCAGTTCACCCAGGTCCTGGACTGCCAAACAGCAACCCAGCTGCTTAAGCTGGCCCACAAGTACAGACCGGAGATGAAGCAAGAGAAAAAGCAGAGGCTATTGGCTGAGAAGAAAGCGGCTGGCAAAGGGGACGTCCCCAGTAAGAGGCAACCTGTCCTTCGAGCAGAAGTCAACACCGTCACCACGTTGGTGGAGAACAGGAAAGCACAGCTGGTGGTGATTGCTCATGATGTGGATCCCATTGAGCTCATTGTCTTCTTGCCTGCCCTATGTCGTAAAATGGGAGTCCCTTATTGCATCATCAAGGGGAAGGCAAGACTGGGACATGTAGTACATAGGAAGACCTGCACCACTGTTGCCTTCACACACGTTAACTCGGAAGAGAAAGGTGCTTTGGCTAAGTTGGTGGAAGCTGTCCACACCAATTACAGATATAAGAAGATCCACCGTCACTGGGGAGTCAATGCCCTGGGTCCCAAGTCTGTGGCTTGCATCGCCAAGCTGGAAAAGGCAAAGACTAAAGAACTTGCCACGAAACTGGGTTAAATGTACACTGTTTCTGTAAATAAAAATAATTAATGCAAATTTTCAAAAAAAAAAAAAAGACAGTAAGTCAGCGCAGATGCTTATTACATGCTATACCAAAAGGGAATACTAGTTCTTGAAAAATTTTAATTAGTACTTTCCATCTGACCTAGAGCTCACCTTATCTAACTCCCCCTTATTGCAGTGGTACACAACAAGCCTTGGAAGTGTGGAGACCAATGGTAAGGAGGGCAGACAGGTTGGCAGGGCCTTTACTTCAGGTGGGAGAATCAGCATTCGGGAGCTACCTCACAGAGCTGGGAATCTTGCTCTAAAGTTCTTTGTGCTCACCATTCTGGTGGGTTGATGGCTGTCTTAGTGCTCAGTGTCCTGTTGCGTTGATGGCTTATCAAGTCCCTCATACCCACCTACCCCCAGTTTATATAGAAAGTTGACAGTCATACTGCTATGGTGATCAAAAATGAAACATAACTTTTTTTTTTTTTTTTTGCTGGCATACTCTGATAATTGTTTTTAAAAACTCAGCTGGGTGTAGTGTCTCACACCTCTTATTCCAGCACTTTGGGAGGCTGGGATGGGAGGATCACTTGAGGCCAGGAGTTCAAGACCAGCCTGGCCAACATAGCAAGAACCTGTCCTACAAAAATAAAAAATCAAAAAATTAGCTGGGTACAGTGGTACATGCCTATAGTCCTAGCTATTCAGGAGGCCGAAGCAGGAGGATCACTGGAGCCTGGGAGATCAAGGCTGCAGTGAGCTGTGATTACACCACTGCACTCCAGCCTGGGTAACAGATCAAGACCCTATCTCCAAAAACACAAAACCAACTCTGTACCTCCTTGTAGATTTTCAGCTTGACAGCTACAACTTTATAAATTCAAATAGAAGAAAAGGGCCAGGCACTGTGGCTCATGCCTATAATCCCAGCACTTTGGGAGGCCGGGGTGGGTGGATGACCTGAGTTCCAGGAGTTCAAGACCAACCTGGCCAACATGGTGAAACCCTGTCTGTACCAAAAATACAAAAATTATCCAGGCGTGGTGGCAGGTGCCTGTAATCCTAGCTACTTGGGAGGCTGAGGCAGGAGAATTGCTTGAAACAAGGAGGTGGAGGTTGTAGTGAGCTGAGATGGTGCCACTGCACTCCAGCCTGGGCGACAGCAAAGCTCCATCTCAAAAAAAAAACAAAAAACAAACAAAAAAAAAAAAAACAGCCGGGCGCAGTGGCTCACGCCTGTAATCCAAACACTTTGGAGGCCAAGGCGGGTGGATCACCTGAGGTCAGGAGTTCAAGACCAGCCTGACCAACATGGTGAAACCCCATCTTAAAAAAAAAACACACACACACACACACAAGAAGAAAAGGATGCAAGTTCTGACATACTGTCAATACTGCCTCCCCACTTTTTTTTTTTTTTTTTTTTTTTTTTTTGAGACAAGTCTTGCTCTGTCACCCAGGCTGCAGTGCAGTGTTACAATCTCAGCTCACTGCAACCTCTGCCTCCCAGATTCAAGCAATAATATTGAGATATAAGGTACTGTTAACAGATATCGTGTTGATTGTTACCTAATGAATTTGTTTGCTTCATTGTGTTATTGTTTTTTGTTGTTTTTGTTTGTCTTCTTCTGAGACAGAGTCTTGCTCTATCGCCCATGCTGAGAACAGTGGTGCAATTTTGGCTCACTGCAACCTCTGCCTCCTGGGTTCAAGCAATTCTGCTGCCTCAGCCTCCAAGTAGATGGGAGTACAGGCACCCATCACCACTCCCAGCTCATTTTTTTGTATTTTTAGTAGAGACGAAGTTTCACCAAGTTGGCCAGGCTGGTCTTGAACTGCTGACCTCAGGTGATCTGCCCGTCTCAGCCTCCCAAAGTGGTGAGATTACAGGAGCGAGCCACCGTGCTCAGCCCCATCATCCATTTTAAAAAGATGCAAAGGTTTTATACGTTTTTTAATAGGGATTTTGTATCATTCCTTTTTCATCTTGAACTTTTATTTTTACTTTATTTCT